AATGTACATTGGCCCACTTCCCCAGAATCAGCCTGTTCTCTGCTGGGCTTCGTCAGAGAGTTCCGTCTGGAGCCTTTAAGGGTGAAAGCAAACCCAGGCGTCCATGGAGACCCAAAGTGCCCTGTGCGGGGAGAGTTCTTTCCCTCCCTCCAGTCCAGCTGAGGAGACGCTGACCACGTCCCCGATGCAGTGGGAGAGGGCCCTGTTCCCTCCGTGGGGCGGAGCCGCGCGGCCTGGTTCCCGTCCGCAGTGGGAGGACTTGAACGTGGAGCACAGCTAGTGGGAGGACTCGGACTCTGTCAGTGTCGGGTCCGGAGGAAGAGGGCACGTGGCCTCTCCCCACTGGGCAGGTCCAGCAGGGCGTAGGCCACCGCTGGGCGTCCCCAGTGCTCGAGCAGAAGGGCCCTGACAGGCAGCGCCTGGGAGGTCTGGTCCTCATGTCGCTGGGGCCAAGCGGGTTGCCAGACCCTGGAACACGGCTCCTTAGGGACAGGCCGTGGAGCTTCCTGGGGGTAACAGGGCCTTGGCCTGCGTCACCTCCTCTGTGCCACCTGCTGGGTCCAGCCCCTCCCCCCCCAAGGGGACTAGAGTGTGTAGTTAGTGTCACTGCAGAGCTCAGCCGCCAGAGGTGGCTGATGCAGTGTGTGGGGGGGGGTAGGTGGCCATGTCCTGGGTGATCCATGTGGGAAGCAGCCCCCAGCCCCCCACAGTGGCCCCAAGAGGGCGAAGCGGGGGTCTTGGGAGGTGGAGAGGGTGAGAAAAGAAAAGGGCAGGCGTCGTGGGGGAAGGATCTCGAGAGGCGGCATGTCCCTGAGCTCAGAATGCAGTCTCCAGCCGTCCCCTGGACCCCTGCTGAGCACGGCTGGGGACACGTCTCACCTCCACCCCAGCTCGGGGCTGGCTTGAAAGAACGCCACAGGGAGATGCTGAGGGTCCGAGGGACAGGCCAGCACCTCAAGACCTGAGGAAGGAGAGCCCCAGGGCCACACCTGGGGGTGACACGTCCACTCCCAGGAAGAACGTTCCAGCAACCAGAGGGAGCAGGCCGGCGGGGTGGGGTGCGGTGACCTCCCCGTCTCGGCCACATTCGCCCTGAGGTTGCCTCTGCCCATAGGGGCTGCGGGGGCGCAGGCGCAGGGGACCGGGCAGAGCCCGTCTGGCTGTGCTGCACTTCTGCCTGGCTCTCGCTGGAAGGCCTCAGGCTCCCCCTCTCTGAGCCTCAGTGTCCAAGTGACGCCGGAGCTGGGTGGGCCCCGGGGTCCTCCGTCCAACAGCACGTCCTCCCACCTACCCCTTCTCCGCCTTCTCCCCATCCCCCGCCCGCACTTGTCACCTCCTGGGCAGCCTCCAGGCTTCCTGGGGACCTGGTCTTGGACTTGGCAGAAAGTTCTCGAATCCATCAGCGCAGCTCCAGCATCCTGGGTGACCTTTGAGTTGGAAGCATCTTGGCTCCTTCTGGGTTATTTTCTTTGGAGTCTTCTTGGATGGTCCCGGAACCAGGGCTCACTTCTCCTCCTGTCACCGCTATATAAGGTCCACCATCGCCCAGCAGGATCCAGGGAGACCGTGCAGGGGAGCAAGCGCTTCGTGAGCATCCGCCTCCCAACCTGTGAGTGGGGCTCTCCCCAGCGACACGCCACCCGGGCGTCTTCAGGCAGCGTTGGGGACAGGAGGCAGAGGGACGGGGCTGCCTGGATTAGCGACATTTCAAATACGGCAACGTTAGAGAGATGTAGCTTATGAGAAGGGTCAACCAACGAGCGAGACACAGTCACGAGGTGGTGGCCCCTGATCTGTTTACACTTTAGACGACCCATTGGTTTGTCTTACTGTGGCAGGTGCAGACCCTTTGCTAGGGGGGGTCTGGGAACCCAACAGTGACGGAAGTCACAGTTCTTCCCCGAAGGCGCTTACAGCCTGGGAGGAGAGGCAGACCCCAGGATCCCAATGAGAGAACAAAGGCAGCCAGGGGATGGGGTGGGGACCCCCAACCTCGACTCTGGGAAGAGGCAGAGGGCAGAGGCTGGGATGTCCTACTGAGGCCAGAGAACCCAGAGGATGGACAGAGGTGACAAATCAAAGAAGAGAAGAGACATTTCAGGTAGAGACGTGGGCAAAAGGACCCCCCCCGCCCCCCGTGGGCAAGAGCTTGGACTCAGTCCCGTCTGGGTTTTCAGATCCAGCTCCTCCCCGCAGCCGGGCCTGAGAGAGCCCCTCTAGCTTCCTGACCTTGGCTGCCACGGCTATCCTAGAGGAAGATCCAGGGAGGCGGCGACTAGTGTGCCTTGAGGGTCCCTTTTCTTCCTGGCAGTTCTCACTCTTGTCCCTCCCATGACTTTCTAGGGTCACAACTAAAGATGTTCCAGCTTTGGAAACTCGTTCTCCTGTGCGGCCTGCTCGCTGGGGCCTCGGCAGCTCTTATTGAGGGTGTGGGCGTTGGTAGGTATCTACCTTTCACCAGGTGGGGTCTGGGGACCTCAGAATGCACCTCAAGTGAGTTGGTGGGTGACCTTCAGTGAACGGCAGACCATCCCCCAGAACACTCTGCCTGCAATACCAGAGGCTGCCCCCAGGGGGTGCCCTTTGAAAGTCCTTTGCTAAGAAAGGTAGGGCTGGTCAAATCCTGGCTGGTTCTCTTATATTTTTAGGAACAGTGCTGCAAATATCCTGATAATTGTTTGCCCACATAGGCATAGGATACATTCTTCAAAGTGCATCTTTAAAAGTTGCACTTTAAGTGTTGACCAAGTTTGGAAGGCAACCTTAGGCAAAAGTTACCGTTTGAAAAGTTATCCTATATGCATAGGATACATTTCAAAGGTTCAAAAAGAATGCACATTTTAAATAATGACAGAGGCTAACTAATAACCTTCCTTGTTAACACTTTCTGGAACAGGCTGTGAGAGTATATTTTTTTTATACTCGCCTGCCAGCACGAGGTCTGGACAAGTTGAAATGCTTTGCCAGTCTCATAGACGAAAGATTGTCACTTATTTCACTCTGCACTTCTTTATTACAAAAGTCTTTCCATTTTTTCATGCATTTGCTATCCATTCATGTATTTGAACTTAAGTATTTTGTCCATATTTTGAGCATATTCTTCTGTTGGGTGTTTGACCTTTGCTTATGAATTTGTGTTAACTCAGTAGAAGTTAAGGAAAGTAGCCCTACCTAGTCCAGACATCTATAAACCTAACTTTACCTTTACACTGAATCATACCTCCATTTTATGCTGACTTGTCCAAATATCATTTTATCTTTTGGAAACACTAACAACACACTGGCAAGTAGTTTTTACAGGAAGAGGTAACTTTTGCAAACAGTAGCCTTCCAAACTTTATCAACACTTGGGCAACTTTCAAAGATGCAGAAAGAGCCCATTCTCTAATTTCACAGCTGGGAAAACTGAGGGTCACAGATAGAAGTGTCTGGATTAAGGTCACCTAGTGAGTTATGTGACCAGATGTAGTCACACCACCAGTTTCATTTAAATTGGCATCTCTGCGTCATCTAACTGATAGATATGGTCCAAGGCAGAGCCATCTTGAAGTACTACAATTACATTTCTTTTCTTTATATAGCTTTCGGTTTTTCCTTGAGTTAGTAATTGCTTTGCTGTTTCTCATTTGAATGATTTTCTACATTTTTATCTTTAATTATTTTCATAGGTACCATTCAACATCTATCATGTCATTTGTTCTGTCTCATCCCTCTATACTCTGGAGACTGAATATAATGTATGACATTGGCCCTCTCACTCCTGTGCAAATTCTTGCTCCCTGGGCCCACTTCCCCCACACCCCTTCAATTTAGATTTCCCATTTCTGAGTTTATTCTCGTGTTTTGTTTGACTCGTTTTCAAACTTCTGTTATCATCTCGCTTAGAGCCATATGCTCCCAAGTCACCCCTAGAACAGAGGTATAAAATCAATATCAATTGCCCAGCCAATTGCAATTGATTGACTGCTTCATTGATAAATGATCAGTCTATGTTAGTAGGGAGGCATCACGGGGGGTGGGGGTGGACAAGGGGTTTCCTGGATGTGACGCGACATATTTGTTAACCTTTTTGAAGCTTTACTTCCTCCTCTGTAAACTGAAGGGAATGGCAATGTCCCTCTCACTGAATGGATTAGACTACCCAAGTGAACTTTCTTATCGGGTCCTGGAGCCCAGTAGCTGCCTCCTCAGGTAAACGGTGATCAACTTTTGCAGATCTCCTTTCCCAACTCAAGACTGACTTGCAGGAATCCGTAGCTTCGAAAGTGATCTCAAATTCCGAGGACTTGGTGAGCAGCTTGCTTTCCGATCAGCAGAAGCTACTGAAGTGCGTTGGAGCCTCACGGTGATCTTTACTCGGATGAAGGGGAATACTTATCTTTGGGGAGGTCAGCTTCAGGACAGTTGAGGACAGAGGGACAGGCTGGTTCTCCTCCTCAGGGGCCAGACCCACCAGCGCTTGAGTGACACAGGAGCAGGGCTGCAGGGCTGGCCTGGGCACCCTGGGGGCTTGGGTTCCCACATTCTGTGATTTTAGGGTCAAGGGGAGAAGGTCCTATTCATTATCCTCCACATACTGATCTGTCCACCTGTTTCCTGGGGCCTAAAGTCCCTTTTGAAAGAACAAGGCTTCCCTTTCATAAATGCAGCCAGGGATCCAAGTCCAAATCCCCGTAAGGGGAAAGGAATTCCGCACCACTTAGTCCCAGGTAGCAGCTTGGCACTTGGAATTTTGAGGCCAGAGGGTTCTGGATTCGATTTCTGGCTCTGGCACTTACTGGGTGGGGGTGGCGGGTGGCAGCTGCCTGAGCCTCAGCCTGCTGTGCCCTAAACGGAGAGAAGCGAACTTCTGAACAGGGCCACAGTGAGACCAAAGAGGACAGAGTTGAGGGCCAGGCTCATTCTTGCTAGCGTGGACGAGTTCTCAGGAAATGGCTGTGGGATAAATAACAAGGGTGGGTTGTGGATTTTGAGCAGCTTGAAACTCGACAAGCTCTCCATCTTGGACATCAATGCTGACCTGTCCAGTGACGGCAAAGGCATCAACCTGAGGATCCCGATCACCGCTGATGTCTCTGCAAAGCTGTGAGTATCCATTAGAGTCAACGCTGAGAGAGGCAGCGTGGGGGATGGACCCCAACCCGGGAATCCACCATGGCCCAGAGAAGAAGCCCTACTACAAACGAGCAAGTTCCATAAAGAACGCGGCCCGCGGGCATTGCCCAGGCAGTGCCCACATTCCCTGTAAACCTGGATGATGTTCGGACAGGTCGAGGCGTCCCTGTGGCCTCCCAGGCCTCTGGCCACTGTGAACCCTATTTCCCGCAGGCCTCTCATTGGCAAGTTGGTCGACCTCCAGGTGTCCTTGGACCTCCAGGCTGGAATCAGGCTCAACACTGACCTCAGCTCCGGCCTCTCCGTTAAGGTCATTGAAGAATGCACCTTGGACTCAAACAGCATCTCAGTCTCCCTGCTGGACAGGTAAGGCCTGTCCCCCTTGGCAGGACTGGGCTCTCAGGGGGCTTGAGGACCCCTAACTTCAGCCAATACTAGCGGGTGGCGTAGGGTGTTGGGGGAGTTCAGGATCTGGGGTCAGACTGGCCTTGATTCAAACGTCAGCTTTTCCTCTAATTTGTAACTTAAGACCAACCTAAGCTCCGTAAATCTCTATCTTCACATCTGTAAACGGGGGCGATAATGATCCCTGCTCATAGGTTTCTGAGATAAACAGATGAGAAAATACAAATGTCTGCCTAGAGCCTGGAATGACGGCTCTCCATAATCCTAAACCCCATGCTGCCTTGCTGATTGGTTGATTCCATCACTGAGACAGGAGTGTTGGCCTCTCCAACCATCATCATGAGTTTGCCTATTTTGCCTTTGGACTCTGTGTTTGCTTTATGCCTTTGAACCTCTGTTGGTAGGTGCATACATGTTTAAGAGAGTCAGGTCTTCTTGGAGAACTGACCCCCTTTATCGTTATGTCATGTCCCTCAGTAATGATAACAATTAAAATTGTATTTACCTTCTTGCCTCTGGTTGGGAGGAAGAGAGGGAGGGAATAAATGCCTGAATCACTCTGATTTCAGATTGCCCCCAAATCATTCTCCACCCACTAGAAAATTACTGAAAGGAGATCTGGAAACCTTAATCCCTCTATTTAAATCATTGTTCCCTGTTAATCCACAAAACCTACATCTTAAATTGTGTGCTTAAAAAAGCGGATTTGGCCCAGACAAAAGGGTAAGAGATAAAGGGTGACCTTGGCTGGTGGCTGGGGGAGGTGAATAGTCTGGAAGCTGAGGGCTGGGGCTGGGGCTGTGGCCATGGCCCGGAACAAGGCTGGGTCCTTGGCTCTCGATCCTGATGGCCATGACCGCAGGTCACCCCACCTCCCCCTAAAGGAATCCAACCAAGGTTGCCCAAAGGACCTCTAAACCCAAGAAAGGCTCCTCAGCCGGATGTTAGCTAGAAATGCCAGGATGCAAATCCAGACGCTCGCCGCCTTGCTAAGCCGCCCCAGCAAATTCAACCTGTCATCTGCATCTATGTCCACACACTCTGAGGTTCCAAATCCCTCTCAGGACTTTTCTTTGCACTTTGGATTCAATGTCATGGCCATGTGGACTCCATATGATCTAGGCTTAACCTCACCTGCTCCAGACATGCTGGCTTTTTCCTGCCACAGGACCTTTGCATGGGATGCTCTACACCTTCTTCCTCACTCCACCCCAGTGTGCCTTCTCATCCTTCAGGATCTTAGCAAGATTCCTCCAATTCTCTTTTATAAGAGTCCCCTGTTGCCCTTCTGAGAACTTGTCACATGTATGTGTGTGTTGCCTTTTCCATTCTTTTAGCCCAAAATTACATTGGGCACCAGCTATGAGCCAGGCCAGCACTGTTTAAGCTCTAGAAAATGGATGGACCAGGACAGACAAGGTCCCCTGTTCTCGTGGGACTCAGCCCCAGGAAAAGGGGCAGGCAGACAAGCTTCAGGGCACTAATGAAGGACTCTCAAGGAAACCAAGGAGTCCTGCACAGAACAGGGCACTTGGTAGCCAAACCCTCCCGGAGCTCCAAGCAATCTGGGAGGGCTGCCCAGAGGAGGTGCCAGTCATGTTGAGGGTTGAGGGTGGGAGCCTCCTGGGTGAGACTTGTTTAGGGGCTAGAGGCTGTTTGTCCTGGGTCCATCCCTGTCCTCAGGACCCGGCTGGGTGCTTGGTGCATACAGCTGGTGCTCTCTCTGGACACACAGGGTGAATGAGTAAGTGAAGGAGGTCTTGGGCTTACGCTGAGGATCTCCTGAGGTGCTGGGTGGACAGCTGGCCACACGTGGGCTCCCTCTGGGGTCAGAAAGTCACCTCCAAGTCAGGGTTCGCCTGACCTCAGGTGTCCCGTGGGCCGACCCCCGCCCTTGCCCGGGTTGTCAGGTTTCCTGTTTTTTCCAGACGAATCTACCTGGTCAACAAGCTCTTGGACAGTGTGACCGGTCTCCTGAAAAAGAGTGTGTCCCTTTTACTGCAGAAAACAGTGAGTCCCCTCCCCGTGGGGCCCAGAGCCAGCCTGGGGGGCGGGGCGGGGTGGCACTGGCAGGGTGGGCTGCGTTCCCTGGACAGGTTTCCCCGAGGTGCAGACCCCTCTTTGGGAACTCGGCTGGAGCGTCCTCCTCTGTGACCCAGCCTGGGGGGCAGAGGCAGGGTTGGACACAAGCGAAACCACCGGGTCCCCAACTTGAGCCATTTGCTATATCCACTCCCTACCAATTCGCCTTTGTAGCCAATGTTCCCTTTTAATCAACCCAATTTTACCTAAAAAAGCAAATTTAAGTTTTTTGGTTTATTTTTGTGTGTGTGGGGGGGGACTGGGGATTTAACTCAGGGGCACTTTACCGTGAGTCACACCCCCAACATTTACTGTTTTTTATATTGAGACACGGCCTTGCTCAGTTGCTTAGGGCCTCAGTAAGTGGCTGAGGCTGACCTTGAACTTGCAATCCTCCTGCCTCAGCCTCCCAAGTTGCTGGGATTAAAGGACTGTAACACCAGGCCCATATCTAAAAACATTTATTAGTTTGTTTGTTTGTTAAACATTGATGTAATTAATTGATTTTTTTGTGGTGCTGAGGATCAAACCCAGTACCTCATACAGGCTAGGCAAGCGCTCTATCATTGAGCTACAGCCCCAGCCCTAAATGCATTTATTTATTTATTTTAATATTTTTTAGTTGTCAATGGATCTTTTTTACTTGTTCATTCATGCATTCATTTATTTATATATGGTGCCGAGGATTGAACCCAGGGCCTCACACATGCCAGGCAAGTGCTCACCACTGAGCCACAACCCCAGCCCCTAAATGCATTTATTTTTAAAAGGAATCTTTATCATAAAAGAAAAATGACCATCATGTACCATATTCTCTAACTAGTTGAAAAAATAAACCTAGACCTAGTAAAGAATGGGTCTATTTTTTCCGTATGTGCATCATCCAGAACCCTGGGTACCAAGTGCTCCCCGGCACCGTTCTGTGTCAGATCTCGGCCGGCCCAGACCTGCCGGAGGGGGGTCTGCAGGGAACCGTGCGCACACTCCCAGACTGAGCCTAGGAGGCGGGAGAAATCTGCCGTCCCCAGGCAACACTGGACGCTGTGAGGTTCCCGGGTCAGGGATGTTCACACTCCTGGCTTTAGATTCTCGAAGTTCTAGAATTCTCCGTGAGAAGGTTTTTGGATCCCGGCTCCCTGGGCCTCACAACTTTTAGGCTACTAGAATCCCGTTGTTCTAGAATCCTAAGAGTCGGAGGTTCTCAGATCCCTAGAAATGAGCCTCCCTCTGTGGAGGACAGTGGGCTGAAGCGCCGTCCCTCCCCCCCTCCTCCCGTCCTCTGCGTCCCCTCTCTGGCCCTCAGGTGTGCCCGGTGATCGAAGGCCTCCTCACAGACCTGAATGTGGATCTTCTTCAGAACCTCATCCGTAAGTCACAGCCGGGCGGGGGTCCCCAGGGCAGGCGTCCCCTCTGCGCCCACCCCAGGCACGCCTGCGGGGACTCCGGGAAGCAGAAGGACCTTCCACCCTGAGCGTGGCCTGGGGCTGCGGCTTCTCTTCCTGACACTTGGGGGACTCCTGAGCCTTTAGGTCACCAGACCTGGCCAGGGTTGTTGACATGGCTGGGGCCATGAGAGTGTCAGGACCCTGGAGGTGGCTTTTCTATGACGACAGCCCCTGCCGGGGCTGACTCAGCGGGTCCTCATGGCAGCCCTGAGGGGCAGGCGCTGTCCTTGTACCCATTTTGCAGATGAACCAACTGAGGTCAGAGAGGTGGTGTGATGTGCCTGAGGTGCCCCCAGACCGTCAGACTGGCCCACCACAGAGTGATGGCTTTGGGGGTCTGGAGACAGAGACTGAGGCCTGTTACTCGTTTTATTTCTTCAGCCAACCTGTCTAACCTGCCCATCAAAGTCTGAAGAGGACGGACCAGGAGGCCTGTCGTGCTGCCACCTGCAGGTGAGGCCAGGCTCTGCACCCCGGTGCACAGGGGCCTGAGGCAGAGCAAAGGCAAGGCCCGGCTTCTCCTGTCGCAGTCGACTGAGCCTCATCTCATATAGGGAGGCCCGCCCGGCCCCAGGCGGTGTCCCCACTCTGAATACACTGAGCCCTGAGCCTCGATCACACTCCCAGACTGAGCCTAGATCCTAGCTACAGACCAAAGCTTCATCCCAGTTATTGACTGAGCCCCAACGTTGGCCACAGACTGAGCCCTGATCCTGGTTTCAGACAGATCCATGGTCCTGACCAGGACTGCACCCTGACCCTGGCTCCAGCCAAGGGCTCTGCTCGGTCTTCTCAAACCTGCCTCTGTCCCAAAGAGGTGACAGGAGTGACGATGGCTGAGCCCCAGAGGCCAGAGAAAGACCGGGAGCCCAGGGGCCTCTCTCTGTCCAAGACCTAAGACTCCCCAGAGTGGAGTGGGGACGGTGGGACCGGAGGAGCCAGGTCGACTCGGGTTCCATCGAGTGTCCAGCCGATGGCAGGGGCCGTCGTGCTGTGGCCGCAGTGTCCTGACCTGCCGTGGGTGGCACTGCAGGTTGATCCGTGGCGGCTGGCTTTACGGCCTCTGCTCTCTGGGACGGTCTGCCACCATCCAGCCAGAGTGGCAGAGGACCCTCTGGACACTCCTCCTCACAGCGGGACAGTGGCCTCTACCCTGTTATCCCAGCGGTGACAATAAAAGCCCCTTTTGGCACCTCCCGTGTGGCCCCTTGCAGTGTGTCCGACGGCGTTGGTGCGGGGGGTGCTCAGGGCTGCTGCTGAATCCAGAGCTGGGAGGGACATGGAGGTCACCACCTTCTGTGTCACAAGGACAGGGCAGGAAACCGGCCACACAGACAGACGAGGTGCTGGTGGAGCCCGGTCTGGCCTCCGTCACGCTCCACGGTGTGTGCTGAGCGCCTGGCTCGGGCACAAGGGGTCACAGTCCTGCTCTGCGGGTGACCCCGGCCAGCGTGCCGCCCCAGGGGCCTGGGGACTCGGGGAGGACTCGGGAGCCCAGGGCAGAGTGACCAGGGTCAGAGGTGGTGCTGGCCTCGCCTGCCCCCTGCCCTCCGAGGGGCCAGGGTCCCCCGGAGCCAGCGCTGGGTGGTCCCGGTCTCCAGCCAAGGCGCAGCCACCCTCGCCCCAGGACTCAGCCCACGCGGGCGGTGCCCGGGACTCAGGCAGCATCACGTGGCTAACAAGCCTTGGTGTCCCCTGCCTTGGTGTCTGGGTTCCTCAGCACACCCCCGACCCAGGGGCACGCCGAGGCACACGGGCAGAGTGACCCACGCAGGTTACAAGGAGCAAGTGACAGGGTTGGGGCCGGAGCTCGCGGCGGTGGGACCCCAGACAGTGGCCCCGGCTTGGAGAGCTGACTTCACCCTGGGCCCGAGGGCCACCTCTCCCACCGGCCCCAGCTGGGCCACGTCCCTGTCCCTGCTTCCTTTGTCCCAGGACAGAGGAGCCACCTCGAGGCTGTCCTCCTGCCCCCCTTCACCCAGGCCTGGCCTCGGTCCCCCTCTGTGCTTCAGGAGGGACCCTGCCCCTTCCTCCAGCCACGTTGGACTCTTCAGGGTGTGACATGGGCCACGTGTGCTGCCCGGTGGTCTCTCCTCCAGGAGGAACCTCTGTCTGTTCCACCAAGCAGCCCATTCGCAGCTCCGGTGGCCCCAGGAGGGTGACGGCGCTCGGGCCTGGGGACCTGGGTCTGAAGAGGCCAAGGCCACGTGGCGCCTGCCCCCTCTGCGAGTCTCAGGGAGGGCCTCCTGTCTCAGTAAGGCCTCAGGGACAGTCACCTCAGGGCCCTTCCAGCTGACCCTCCCCCAACTCCCCCGCGTGTCTGGACAGTGACCCTCGCGGACCCGGAGAGGGCAGCCAGGAGGTGGCCGTCGGGGGTGGCCCTGCCCTTGCTAGCTCTGTGACCTCGGGCAAGTCACTGCCCTGGGAAGTCAGTCCTGTCACCCTCACCCACATTGGACCCTGGGTTAAAGGAGCCGAGGGGCAGGAGGTGCTTAACCAGGGCCGGACCGCGCGAGCCCAGCATGCACGGCAGCCTCTATTGACTGATGTGACATTACTGTCGCGTTTGTTGATCGACTTATAAAAGGACTGGCACGAGAGAGAGAATCGCCACCCAGGGCCCTCTGGGCATCCACCCTGACTGGGCAAGGGAGACTGCTTCCTGTCCCCAGGGTTCATCCTTCTCTTCCCTTCCCAAGTTTTAGTGGGGCACACGTACCCCACAAGTCCACGGCATCTCCCAGACTCCCTTGTGGCCGAATGCTGTCATTTGACTGAGGTCTGGGTGGTGGCATGTAACCAGAAGGGAGACGCAGGGTCTATCTGTGCTTAAAAAGGAAGGGGTCCCTCCTCTTCCTCCTGGGATCCCCTCTTCTCTGCAGTTGGAAATGGGGACCACTGGAGCAGCCGGTCTTGACCCCGGTGTGGGCGCAGTATCTTTGGCGGCCTGCCCACCCACCCAGGGGCTCTGTGGAGGAAAGGCGTTACACAGTCCCTTCAGGGTGCTTTCTCTCTGTTGACCCCTCATTCTACCAATACCATGCTGGGTGGCAGCAGGCTGCTCACTTGCCCTCTCTCTGCCCCACATTTTTATCTGCCCAGTGATTCCTGTGGGCCCTTCCAATGCAGCAGGACAGAAGTTAACATTCTTTCCAGGGCTGAATGGCAAGGACAGAATCAGTTTTTCCCACACACCAGGCACCGGAATAGACTGGTGGCCTTTGTCCCCCAGGGGACATTTGGCAATGTCTGTATATATTCTGTTTTCACAAGTTGGACAGAATCAGGGGTGCCACTGGCATCTGGCAGGTAGCTCCTGGGGATGCTACTAACTCCTGTCCTGCAGAGAGGGCCCTGGCACCGTGTGAGAGGCCACGGGGGTGGGGGTTGGGGGGCGGGGGTCAGGTGGGGAGGACCTTGGGTGGGAGCTGAACCCCAGGATCTCGGTGAGCTTGGATTTCACTGAGTGGCTCGGTGACGTGGTGGCTTGGGTAACTGTGGCAGAGACGGGCTCAGAGGGAGAAGTGGCCAGCCAGAGGCCTGCAGCTGACCACGCAAGGGTTGGCCTCCTGTTCAGTGGATACTGCCCCTGGCGGCCAAGAGAGCGAAAGAGGAGTCCCCCCTGGCTGTATCCTGGGACGTCTCACCCCCAGAAAACGCACAGGCCGAGCCCAGAACTCAGGGAAGAGCCCTGCTCAGTCAGGGCCACACCTTTGTCCCCTCCGGCTAGAAAAATCCTCCTCGACCTTCAAGCTGCTGAGAGTCACCTCGGGCCAAGCAGGGCCTTCTCCCTCAGGTTTCTCAAAAAAAAAGAAAGACACTACCTCCTGACCCAGGTCGCTGTGATCGAATGTGACCCCAAGTCCATGTGGTGACGGTGCTTGGAGGAGGGGTCTCAGGGGGTCATTGGGATTAGATGAGGTCATCAAGGTGGGGCCACCGGTGACTTTGGTGGCTTCATGAGACGGGAGGACAGTCTGAGCTGGCACGTTGGCCCGGGTCCTCCACGTCACCATGCTGCGGGAAGGTCCCGCCCTGCCAGCTCCAACCCCTGGGCTCCCTGCTGCCCTAGGACAGCCGCTCTTCCCCATCACCCCGTCTCTGCATTTTGTTTTTGGGGGGTTGTTGTAGGGATAGACGAGGCAAGGCACCGAGGACAGCAGGAAACAGTTTTAATTGGCTGCAGCCAGGTTCAGAGGGCCCAGCTTTTGCTGTAATCAATCAAGCCCCTGAACCCCAAGTTCAGGCAGTTTCCGAGTTTTATACCCAGTGTGTAAGGGGGGGGCTCAGAAGTTCACAGTCTACAGAAGTTCACATAAACGCAGCTTTTTCTGTCACTGTTCTGGGCAAGTTAACGCTTCAAGGACAACACCTGAGAAAGGGAGCGCTGCTTGTCCCCTCTCTCTCCTCCCCCTGCCACCTGTTACCATGGAGCCCAGTTGTAACTTATCTTGAAAATGTAGACATCTCTGTGAAGCCCCAGCTCAAGGCCAACTTGTTTGCACAGTTCTTCAAAGTCCTGTACTGGATACGTTTGTGAACAACTAGTAAGGGGTGTCCAGCACCTGGAGTGCTGGTATTTCCCGTCCAGTGGCCAAGTAAAACAGGGAGACACAAAAATAGGAAGTTTATCTACATTGAGCTCTTGCAGAGACTCTTTTGCTGACAGTCCTAAAATCAGCCATGGTGGAGATTTCTGGAGAGGCCCAGTTAAGACTTTTCAATGGAGGATGGGGGTGCCACTTCAGGGTGGGTACCAGGGATTGAACCCCAGGGCACATGATCACTGAGCACCATCCCCAGCCCTATGTCTTATTTTATTTAGAGACAGAGTTTCACTGAGTTGCTTAATGCCGCAATCTGGCTGGGCACAATTCAGGAGCCACTTGTCAAGCAGAAACGAACTTTATTTTTAGAACACACGCTGCACCATATGAGCTCTTCAGGAATTCCTTCAGAGCCCAACTGCCATCACCGGCTTCCAGGGAGCCTCTC